GCTCGGAACACACACTCTCGAGGCGCTTACAATTTTTTCCTTATTCTATCCTTTCTCAGAAAATTAATTTTTAAATATCATTACACTGCTATTATGTTGTTCTACTATCTACTTATTACTAAAATATTAAATTTTTCTTTCGCGATATTATTTCCTATCGTGTATATTAAATTTATATTTTTTAATTCGAAAACAGTAAGTTATTTTTATACAAAAAGTAAAATTAATAATAAAATAAAAGTAAATAAAATCAATTCTAAAAAGAATTAATTTATTAAATAACAAATTTTAAAATAAATACTTTTTTGGAAATTATTTCCAATAATTAAATTTTTCTTGATAAGAAATTAAAAATCGAATTTTAAAATATAATTTCCCGGGAATTGTAAAATTACAGAATTAGAGTCACGTATTTTTTTTGCTATTTTTATTACTAGAAAACTAAAAAATGAATGTGAGATGAAAATGTCAAAAACTCTTATGGTTGTCACATGAATGAGAAGAGAGAGGGAAGAAGTGCTTTGAAAGGAAAGAATCTACAAAAAGAATATCTCAAAGTGAGAAATTTTTGCTTAAACTGAACGTAACAATTATCGTATATATCTGAAATATTGGCGAATAAAAAAGTGCGCGTTACATTTTTTATAAAGTGCATGCTAAATTTTCATAAAAACCTAGTTAAATTTTCATAAACCCCACGTTATAAACCACAAGAAGTAGAATTTCTTCTCTTACATTTATTTTTCTCAGATGTTGTTTTAAATTCTATTACTTGTCGTTTTCTTTTGAGAAAATTCTCTTTATACTCATATCCTTTTTTTGGACTTTCATGTTTTTTCTTTCTCATATTTTATTTGACTGTCGTATACTTTCAAGTATCTTTTTTTTATTTTACTTAACTTTGTCATAAATTCCAAGAGTTTTTTTTTCATAATTTATATTTGACTTTGTCGTGTTTTTTAAAAAGGAAACGTATTCTAAGATTATATTTCTTTATACATAAATAGGCAATTTTTAGTGTAATTTTTTTTTTGAAATGTAAAACGATGATTACTGTTATCTTTTTAGTAATTTAGTTCCATTTTCTTGTTGACATGTTAGTGACACTTTTTTTCAACTTTTTTTTTTTTATTGTCGAGCAGTAAATACGTGTACGTTTATGTGGCACTAACAACAGAAATAAAATGAAACTACCATCCCTGTTCAGGGTAATACAGAAGCAAAATTGGATTTTACTTTATAACAGGTTGGTAAATTAGATTTTAGTTAAAAAAAATATTAAAAACAGTAGCAAAAAATAAAAAAAAATTTTTTTTTTGAGAAATTTTGTAGTGTAATTTCGTTAGATGTTTTTTAAAAATTTTCAATTTGTTCGAGAAATTATTCGGTTTTTGAAGGAGAAAAAAATGGTTTATGAAATATCGTAAAATTAAAGTTCTGCATGTTATGACACAAGTATGTAAAATATGTAAATTTTGAAATTACATTTCATGTCATTAATTAAAGTACCTGACATTATGTCCTACCACCACTTTCTTTTTTGCATATAGTGTCACATACCGTAAAAAATTATAAATGAAAAACGATTTCTTTTTTTCTTAAAAAAAAATAACGTCCCTTTTTACCAGCAGTCGTATTTTCACTCCTTATTTGTACAAACAATTAAAATCTTTTAAGAAAAAAGTATAATTTTAGAGATAAATGAAATTTTTTTAAAAAATGTAGGTAATAATTTAATTTTCTATAGAAAAAAAGATCGAAAATAAAAATGTAGAACACTTTCGTATACATGAAATTCACTTCTAAATAGAATTGTTCCATTACACGAGTAGAATTTACAATTTATTGCATTTACACACGCGTAGTGCAGAGATTTTCCGTGGAAAAAAATTTTTTTTTTGTTTACTGAGAAAAAGAACCGTTTTGTTTGTGAAGTGAATTTGCATTGAATTTGGAATTTTTTTTTTATAATTAAATTTATCTTTACAGTGAAAATTTGTGATCCTGAATTATTCATATATTTTTAATAGTATTTGTTTTTTTTTCTAAATGTGACATTCGAGGAAAATTTACATTTTAAACGATATGTTTACGCACGATCGATTTTCTTGTATAGAAAAAAAAGAAAGGAAAAAAAAGCTTTTTTCAGATTTCGATCTTGAAAATTAGTATAGCGAAATGAAACCTTAATTTTCTAATTATGTAGAATTTTTGTGCATTTTAAATTTTTTTAAATTTATTTATTTTCATGGCTACCTTTCACTACCCCATGCACAACAGTCTTACTATCAACCAAGCTTTTCCTATTTTTTCATTTTTAATTCAAAACACTTGCCCCTTATTCTTTATCGTTACCCATTTTAGATCATCTACCCTCACATTAACCATATCTTCGGAACCCCACTCATATATTTTCCGATAGCTTTCAACAGTCTAATGTTAACATTCACTCCTATCCTTGCAATCAGTTTTTCCAACTTTATTCAATAATGTATTTTTCATGCCTCTAGTCACTATTTTAACGAAAATAGAATTCAATTTATTATATTTTAAACACTGTACGGGCTTCAAATTTATATTTGAAAATTATTAGTAATGTTAGGCACAAAAAATTTTTGATACGGTCCTGACGACTCATCCGTTTGTGCAGCGCACGCGTCCCCCCTCCAAGGCAACTAGTTTCGCGCCCCCCCCCCCCCACCATAGCAGGAAGAGTATATAAGCATGACCAGCACAGGTCCCATTGAGTCGATGCGCGTCCACCGTAGTGATAGGGTTATTCTTTTAAACAGAAAGAGAGAGAGAGAGAGAGAGAGAGAGAGAAATTTGGCCGAAACTGTGAAATGATTACTTACTTGATTTTTAGAAATTAATTTAATATTTATTTTTCTAGGAAACTAATTATCACCAGCTGAAGTGGAGTCATGGATCTAGAGGCCAGTAATCAAAAGCAGAAGAGAAAGAAGGAAGAAAGTGTTGCTACTTCATCAGTATGATTTCGATATGTATATCGAACGTCATTTGGTGCAAGTTTGGCAAATGTGCTGCAGTGAAAAAGTGGTTTTTAATAAAGATAAATCGTAATATTTTGACAAGAAGAAAATTCATTACCCCATTTTGCAGTACATGTAAGTTTAAAAAGGCTACTTTTGGTTTTAGGCTAAAAAAACTTTTATAGTTTAAGGCTATTTTTAACACCACTTATACTATACTTAAAAGCCTCCTTTTTATCATCAAATTATTACTCACCATTCGGAATTTTTAAAATCTATGATTAGATCAAAACAAAAATGAAATAAATTTTTTTTTTCAATTTCCCATCTTTCTCAAGCACGGTACTAATTAATTTTGCATTTTAATTAATACCTAATTTATCGCAGTTAATGAGTGGTAAACTTTTTCAGTGATTAGCAAGCGCGTACTTTGAGGGTTTTGAAATCATGTGAAAAATGTATAAAAGAAGATAAAAAAAAGAGAGTGATAAAACGATGCAATTTAACTTTGAAATCCTTTGATGCAATTGACCTTAACTTATATATAACTATATATCCTCTCTGAGAAAAACTGTTGTATCTGTGATTGTAAAAGAAAAGGAAATATATATTTGTTTGCAAAAAAAATAATGAAATCAGGTCATGGCAATTTAATCCGACAAAGGGAATATTTTTCTCCCACTTCTGTTCACCCCCCACCATTAAAAAAAAGTAAAGTACAAAATTTAATTAAAATAGACATCGCTAATTAAATTACTGACATGCATTATATTTAATTAATAATTAATACGACCTTATTTAATGTATTTCGATAATATTTCTCTCTGTCGATTAGCAAAACGAAATGAAAAACAATGTTAAAAAATGTTTTATTTTTACTTGAAAAACATTTTTTATTTCCTACCATTGGAAAACATATCTAAATATTTATTTTATTAGAAAAAACAGTAATTTTTGAATAAATAATAATAGAGAATAAATCAATATTTTCTCGAGTGTAATATTTCGAATTCAATTTGAAAACTCAATTTTCAAATCATAGATTTTAATAAGATAAATTTAAGAAAAAGAAACAAGAAAGGATGATGAATATTAGATGAGTTTCGAGAAGGTTAAAACTCCGGGGGTAACTTTAGTCGAATTGAATGAGATGATAAAGTTATATGTATATTCCACTTGTTGAAGACTTCAATTATTATCAATCAACAATTACTTAATTACGCTGTTCGAAACACTTGGAAGGGGAAGCGGGGGACAGAGAGGATTTGTTTACCTACACTTCAATTTAATTATATGATATTTCGAGTTTTCCTTGTACCATATTTCTCATTAAACTAATGAACATGTTAGATGAAATTCTGCGCTGGTAATTTTTTATTTTTCTTCTCATTTAGGGTGCTTTTGTTTTCCGTATTTATTGTTTGTTTTGAATTTTCTACTTTTTCTCATTTTTTAAAATTCTTTTCTCTCTATTTAACTTGAAAGCGTTTTTTTTATTTTTATTTAAAATTTGTTGTTTTTTTCGTTATTAATAATTTTATATTATTCACTTTATTATTTATATTTCACAATAAATATATTTAATTATTCATGAAATTTTTAACGTCCGTTTAATTACTTTGTTGCTGAAGTATATTTTACGAGGCTTTTATACGGATTTATTTTATTTACTAGTTGATACCTAAGAAGCAAAAAAATTTGAGGTTATGTTTATAATTTTTAGAGGAAAAATACAGAAAGAAAATCAATTATTATTACAAATTATTAATGTTCAAGTCTTTTTAAATTCAAAGTATTCAATAAAAACTATTTTACAATAATATCAATAATATAACACAAACATAACCTACAATTCGTTTGCTTTTTAGGTACGTTTCTTGTGATTGCGTCACATTTATATAATTCTATTTATAAAATTTATTGGATAATTAATTTAATAATAATTTAATATTAATTTAATAATACAATAAGTAACAATTACGATTCATTAGTAAATATTTCCTTTTTCCCATTCAGTTGATATCGTTCTTAAATGTAAAATATGTTTATAATCGTTTGATGCTGTAAATTTTCCAGGAAGAACCGCAAAACAAAGACTGCACGGGACTTCTGTTTACATCACGAGGCAGTGTGTGTGTATTTGTGTTGACGATGAATTGGAAACAAGGGACTCGCTTCGATTAGCAGGTAATAATAATCGTTGAAAATTGAAATTCAGGATATATAATAGAAAATAAATTTGGAACTCGAGTTTCAATTTGTAAATTATTCCGGTTAACAAGAACATAAATTTTCTCGTCATGAATACATTTTCGATAATGTTTCCCTGGTTCTGAAAATTATAACCACTGATTAAAATTTGTCATTCAATTTGTATAATTATTTTGAAAAAAAAGTTTACCCAAACTTGAGGAAATATTCCATTTTTTTAATTTCATTTTCTTTGAATTTCTGTGTAATTATTTTGAAAAAATATTCTTTAAAACGAACTAGGGTTTATGTTTTGTTTCATTAATTTTCGTTTGTTATTTGTTGAAAAAATATTTTATTCCCTGTGAACGCAACTTAAGCCGATAAAGTATTCTTGGAAATTTAGTTACCCATCCCTGGTGTTCGTAGTGTTCGCGCCTTTATTACTAAGCTAACCTAAAATGTAATGCATTTTTGCGTTGTCATTGTGCCATATAACATCGCTATTTAAAAAGGTAAAAATAGTATATTTATACTTATTAAATTATAATGTCAATAATTTTATAGCAAATAAAATTAATTAAAAATTAATAAAATTAAATAAAAAAGGAAATAAAGGGGACAATTTTGAAATAAAAAAAAGAATTGCCAATAAGAATTTTACTCAACGATTCATGTTCCGAATGCCAACCTGTCGTCCGAATCTTCAGTGTCCGGATCTTCGCGGCATCGCAAATTTGTTCCCTCTTCGTAACGTACACGATATCCTAGCTTCCGTGGAACTCCGAGCAACCTACAAATAACACACGAGACCCATTCTTTCAAAGATCATTACAACATTTTTTTTATTGCGCAAAAAAAAATTCAATGGAAAAAATTAACGGTATTTTCTTTCACTATTATTTTACTTGGTTTTTACATTTATTCATTTCTTCTTTTTACATTTATTATCTGGGTTATGAAAAGTGAAGAATTTTATTTATATTATTTACAGAAATAATTATTGAAAAATTTTATTTAATATTCATTTTTTAGACATTCACAAGAAGTAGGTCATTCTTTTCGTTTTTACAGATATATTTGTAATATTTTATTTCCCTCGCATACTGTAAACCTTTTTCTGGTTAAAAAAGAAAATTTCACGTATTTTAGTGAAGCTGATAAAATATCCAAGTTACATTGCTTTCTAGTGTGGAAAATTGAAAAAAAATTGTTTTGTTTACACGAATGCGATGTAGTTTAATGGATAATTAAATATACATGAACAAACTTTGTGAATTTTTCATTTTTTTTCTTTGCTTTTTTGCATTTTACTTTTTATTGGACGTAATTTTGTGGTTTAATTAAAGTTAATAATTAATTATTTGAAAATTGCTCACGTATATTGTAATATTTAAAATCGATAACGAAACATTGAATTTATAACTATTGTAATGCAAATAGTAAAAAAATTAAATAAATTTAAACATTACAATAATTACTAATTATTGGAAATTTCAATAAGTAACAATTAATAAATTATTAAATTTAAATTGATAATTTTCGATAAAATATTTATTTTAAAACTTTTAATACATTTTGCTAAAATATTCATTTTAATTAACTTGATAAAATTTTAATTAAATATTTATTTTAATTATAACAAAAGTTTGCTTAATAATTATCTAAAAATCATTTTTAGTTTATTCATTAACTTTAAAGTAAAACTACCATTTCAATTTATTTCCCAAAAAGGTTGATTGATTTTTAATAAGGTCAACTTTTTGAGCACTCAGTAATTTTCAATCAATTTTAACTTTCCTGCAAAATAAGTTATTTATATTTGTTATAAAATATGAAATAATTTATAACAATTTTAAAAAAATGACTAACAGTATAAAAAAAATAATTTTGAAATAATTTACAGTTCATGTTTAAAAGTATAAAGCAAATTTAATTAAATTTAATCTAAATCCAAGAACAAAGATTACTTTTTAATTTTGTGCATATAAAAAGTGAATTGAGAGAGAGAAAAAATGAAGAAACCTTGTTGAGAAAATGAGGGAGAAATTATTTTCAGATATATGAGTGGTTTTTGTCAAAGTGACAAATTATTCCTGTCTAATTATCTTTGAGAAATGTGTGTGGTAATTTTTCTCATCCTTGAATCCTGGGTTATATAGGAAAAATTTTCACCGAGAGACATTTTAATAGTCATTCGTCGTGATAATTAAACGAGCGCAACGAGTTTTATGAATGGAAAGTATAAAATGTCGACTTCATTTTTTTTCTTCTTCATTCTAATACCTGTCGCGGATCAAATTTTGAGTGTGAATTCGAACCTACTTAAAATTATCACTACTTTCATTATTATAATGTCATAAGATTAATTTTATTGTCTTATTATAAAATTTTGTCTTGAGTTTAAAAAAATCCTCTCTGGGAAAAAATGGGACGCTTCGTTATTAATTAATCTGTTTACTTGATTTTTAGACTGTAATATAATATTTATTTTTCAAGGAGACTAATTATCACATACTGGAAGGAGTCATGGATCTAAGGGCAAGTAATTAAAAGCAGAAGAGGAAGAAGAAGAAAGTGTTGCTACTTCATCAGTATGATTTCGATATGTATATCGAACGTCATTTGGTGCAAGTTTGGCAAATGTGCTGCAGTGAAAAATTGGTTTTTAATAAAGATAAATCGTAATATTTTGACAAGAAGAAAATTCAACGCTCCATTTTGCAGTACATGTAAGTTTAAAAACACTTTTCTGGTTTAAGGTTACCTTCAACACCATTTATTATAGTATTTTTTGAAAACTTATTTTTTTTCATCAATTCATTACTTATCATTTTGAATTTTTTAAATCTAGATTTAGATTATAAAAATTCAAAATGCCACATTTACAATTATCCATTTAAAAAAATTGTCTTTTTTTGTTTTATAAGTAACGTAAAAACCTAACCTCTCTCATTGTGAAATTGTAATTTATTCTCTTTTTGTCATATACTTTATAAATATTTAAGCACTTTTCGTGTAACTTGAAGCACGAGAGATGAATTCTAACAATAAAAGAATATATACAGTGAAAAGTTTCACATCTATTCGGATATAAAAGTTTTAGGGAAAAAAACTTTTTGTGCGACAGTTTTTGTATTAAATGCAATATATACTGCGCTACTTATACACATAGAGTAAGTGGAAACTACAATTTTTATATACATATAAATTTTTGTGTGTTCCTACTCTGCCTTGAGGCATGTAAGCAAAGAAATCCGATGACAAAAGTTTCCATCTGAAAGTTGGTCCTTCTTTCTTTTTTTCTTATTTTGATACTCGGCACTGAAGGAAGCTTCACGAGTTTTTAATCTCCCTAAGTACGATAAGAAGGCCAGGAGAGTCGTTTACTGGTTAAAGGGAATTAGGGGTTGATAAAAGAAACGAGAAAAAAATATATATAACATAAGAAGCATTTGCTCTCTGAAAAAGGAGTCGTATATATTCTTTTATTATTAACTTAAGAAATACGAGTTTGAAAGGTTTATATTTTTCTTGTTTTTGCTTGTTTATGGACAAAAATTATAGACAAAAAAATAAAATACATTAGAGAAAATACGTCTCAATTTCAATAAAATTTTCTTTAAAATTTTTAACAATCTTTTTTTTCAATAAGTATTGAAAATTAAATTACATTGTAATTTTTTACCAGTAGATTGTTTATTCTATTTCTAATTTATTTATTGATGAAATCTTGATTACATTTTCTCTGAAACGTAAATTTATATATACATTTGTGAATAGAATTGTTAGATAATATAATACTTCGGTAATATTGTTTCCGCTTGTTTATTGTGCGATTCTCATAATTATTAATAGAATTCAAATAAATTATTTAAAAAACATGTCTCCGTGATTTGAATTTAAAATAATATTTTAACGGAAAAAATTTTATTTTAATAAACTTTTATGTTAGAATTTTTCAAAGAGAAGATATAATAATATTTCAAAAAAATTTTTTATTTGAATAACCGGAAGTTTTGCTTCTTATCAGACTAGAGGTTACGTTTTATGACATTTTTTACGCACACATATATACACAAAAGTGCACGCTTTCGGGCGTAATTCCTTTTTTCATTAAAATGAATAAAAATATTTTATACATTTAATAAAAATAAACTTTTTATATACGTTTACTCATTTCTTATTTATGAACCAATTCAGTTTTTTCTAAAAAATTTTTTGCTTCGTTCTCAATAATATAATTGAAAATTTTTTTTCATAAAAATAGTATTTAATATTTTATTTAATAAAAATAATAGAGAATATTATTATAATTTATAACTATTCTTAAGATAACAAATTATGAAATTATATGAATTTTTAGATATTTTCAATATAAGCCAAGAATCGACAACACGGAATATAAATGTTTATTTTTCGCTTAAAATTTGCAAAAATATTCAAAAAATTGTGAAACGATTTTCGTTTAGAAATAAAATTGAATATACATTTTAACGTAGCGTGAAATTGATTAAATTCTATAAAGTTAAAATGAAATTGAGATTCTTTTGCTCAATGAAGTGAATTTCCACAATTTTAGCCACAATGAAAAAATATATTTTTTTTTCAAATTCCAAGCTCCTTTTTCAAATACGAATTATATTTTTTTATGACAAAGAAAACGATAAAAAAATATTATTTTGTCAGAAAAAAAAATGAATGAAAAAAAATTTTTTCATTCGCGATGTTTTAACTTTAATCCAAAAGGCTTAACAGATTTTAACAATTTTTTGTCCTTGGAGTTTTAGCTCCGAAACATTTACACCTCGAGAGTTAGTAAAAGTTGTGAAAAAAAAACCTTTTTAAGTAAAGAGGATTTACCCGGATTGAAAGGTTGAAAAAGAGAAAAAGAAGAAGTTTGATAGTGTGGAAGAGTTACATTAGTATAGGGAAAGAATTGCGCTTTCGAGGATTCGTCCTACTTTTTTAATCTAGAGCGTCCCTCGATATACATAAAAACTACGTGTGTCCGAACACGAAAAAAAGGCTGACAGTATAAAGTGCGGATGCAAGTACAATGAACCAGCAAAAAAAAAAAAAGAGAGAGAGAGAGAGAGAGCGATAGTGACTGAGGAAGGGCAGAAAAGAGGGAGAATTTTCTCATTTATTTGTAACAAAGCTGCTTCCAAGTTGTTCACGATACAAACCCTCTCGATATCTCTTGAAATTCAAAAGAAAAGTGCCTTTCACTAACGAAGCGACTCTAATTGAAAATTAGCCTCGTTTAGATTTCAATTAACACAATATAACATTTTTTGCAATTATTTATCATTTCTTGTTTATATGGAATTTTTTATTTACTTATATTTATTACATTTATTGAAAATACATTTAATCAATACTCGTTGAAAAATAAATTTAATTTTAAATTCCACTTGTCTGATTAATTCATATTTTTCATGCCATGCCAATAACACAAATCACTCTATCAATTTTTAATCGATCTTCACATTTTTGATTTTTGAAAATTCGTGCCATTTGCCGCTCTACTTAACTTTTGCGCCAGGCGAAACTTAACCTAAAAAATTTGTTAAATTCTGTTTTAAGTTATTTATAATTATAATAATTCAATACTGAATATTTTATAATCAATATTTAGATCAATTCATTTAATTAGAGAGCTAAATATAAAAAGATATTTTAATTTTAGTATTATTTTTACTTCACGTGTGAAGAAAGACGAAAATAATTATGAAAAACTATGATTGATTGCTTTTCACACATTATATTTATTCACGACGATAAAAATTAAATTAGAATTTTAATACTTCATGGTAATGAAATATTTCACTTTCACGCAATTTGTTATAATTATCAATTTCCCCCTGTTCCCTTCATATAGTAGACTTTATGTACTGAATTTCTTTTTATTGAAAAAGTATTTTAAAATTTAAACAAATTTTTTTATATTTGGAAAAATTTTTTTTATTAAAAAATACATTAAAAAAACTTATACTAGAGTTGGATAATAAAATCAAGAGGACATCGAGAAACATGAACATATTAAGTAAATTAAAAAATGTAAATAAAATTTCAAAAATATAAGTTTAAAAATATTTGTCATCGAAAGTAAAAGTCTGGAATAATATTTCATGTGTATGTTAAAATAATCTTATCATATCCTCATTAACAATGAATTTCCATTTTCATTAATGGAAATCTAGACAAAATCCCTTTGGGTCTTAGACCCTGAAGAGTTGACCGGGTTCGTTTTGCTGATCGATCAGCAATGCTATAAATACTAAAGTTTCTCTTTCTCACTCCCTCGTCTATAGGCCCCCCCAGTTTAAAAATAATTATCGATTGTATCCCAAGTCGTGGTAAAGAAGTTGTATCCGTTCGGTAAGTGGGTAATTGAAATTGAAGTAACGGAAAGAAGAACAGAGAGAGAGAAAGAAGAATCCAATTTCCAATCACAATTGTTCGAAAATCGAGAAAAGTTGGAATAATTCAGTGAGCGCACTGGGAATCACTCTCTTTTTTTTACACAATACCCGTGGAAAACCACTCTAATCGTGTAATTCAATTTTAACCCTACGGATATGAAGCTAATATGTCAGAATTGACCGTATTGAATAATTAAAGAGGTAGTTTTATATATTAAAGACATACTTTTAATATATAATGTGTTTAGATGCATTAATTGTCTATAGAGTCTAATAAATTTAGAGGGGGGGGGGATTATAATTAACAAAAGATAAATTTTCGTAAGTACGAACGACCTCTGACGTGCATGCGCGCAATCTATAGATATTTTTTTGGTTTTGCGTCGAGTCGTTATTACATATAACCTACTTACTTAATTTTAAGAAACTTTTTTTCATTTTCAGAATTTAATGTAATGATATTAATAATAATATAATTCATAATATTGTTATTAATAATATTATTAATAAATTATTATTATTAATAATATTATGAATAATAGTATTATTAATAATAATATAAATGGTAATATTAATAATAATAATTTCTTTTCTAGGAGTCAAATCACCAGCAGGAGTGGAGTCATGGATCCAGAGGCAAGTAATCAAAAGCAGAAGAGAAAGAAGAAAGAAAGTGTTGCTATTTCATCAATATGATTTCCATATGTATATCGATCGTCATTTGGTGCAAGTTTGGCAAATGTGCTGCAGTGAAAAAGTGTTTTTATATATAAAGATAAATCGTAATAAATTGACAAGAAGAAAATTCAACTCCCCATTTTGCAGTTTAAAGAAACTACTTTTAAATTTCCATTTCTGGTTTGAGTTTATTTTTAACACCACTTAGTCTTTTTATTATCAAATCACATGCCTTTTTCTAAGCGCGAAAAAATTCAAGGCAATTCAAGTTTTCTTTTCCACGGTCAGGTATTTTTCTCTCCAAAGACAAGTTAGTGTTTTTTTTCAATTTTTAGTCAAATTTCTAAGTTGGATATTTAAATCAAAATACTTATTTTCCTATATACTTATACATAGTTAAATTAATATTTACATTTACGAACCAATCCTTTAAAAAAATTTGCCCATACGTATAGGACTCGGATAGTAAAATTCTGTAGAAGTTAAAAAAAAGGGTTGATTTTATAACAAAAAAAAAGTAAAAAAAACTAAAGATCGTGACCCAGTTATATTATTGGTAGATTTCAAAGCACAGTATACGTGTATTTACATCGTGAATTGAGAATCGACTCACATGTAATCGATTGGTATCTTCCTCCAGGTGCCATTTGTTGTGAGCTCAATCTCAAGATCTTTGTACGAGTCCCGGGAGTATTTTGCGCTCTTACACCATGAGCTTGATTTTTTTGCGCAATTGCGCCACGGGGCACAATCAATTATCATTTTCTTTTCTTCACCTTGATTTTTCGAAAAAATCACTACAACACACATTAATACAAATTTTATTTCTTCTCCCGTTTTTCACGTGACTTAAATTCTCTAATCAATGACTTCCTCAATAGTACACACACATTTGTCCCATTATACATTTCGAACTGAGCAAACATTTATGTAAACAACAACTCTGTATATAGATATAAACAAGAATATTTACACAATTCTGTCAGTGTTTATAGTCAAACACTGTGTACAAGATTCACATATTTTTTTAATTTCAGATTTTATATTATAAACTTTTGTTATTTTGAATTAGGATTACAAACATTTACATCGCGGAATATGATTTATATTTCAAAATTTTATTTCTGGTACTTTTGAATATTGAAAAAAGAATGTCTTCTTTTTTTTTAAAGAAAATAATATTCTCTATAGGTAAAACTAAAAACCGGGGTAATAACGAATAGGGTTAAATTTACACCGGGCAAAACTGCAAATGGGGTAAAAGTGAATACCAGGTAATAAAAAATACGGGCATATCATTAACTATGGGGTAATTGTGAACACTAGATTCTATTAAATATGGCTAAAAAATAATCTATTTTTAATTAATTAATGTTTAAATAATTATTCCTCGCGTGATAAAAGAGCAAAAAATTGATTTTTTAAGTTAACAATAAAAAAAACATTTTTTGAATATTTTTCAATACGTGGTAATTTTTTTCACCTTCACGAGAAAATTGACTTTTTTTTTCTTTTTTGTCAAAATCTTATATAATTGAAATTATTAGAGCGAAGCGCCCAAACAATAAAATTGCATCTTTACGTGAAGAATATGCCCGTCAGCACTTTTGAACAATAATTAACCGCACAATCACGTAAGTGCTTCTCTATTCACGAATGTTGGACAAAAAATCAAGTAGTTTTCACGATCGTCGAAAAGAATCTTTTTTTTTATTTTTTCGGTCACGTCATTCTTTAGCATATTTCTTTGCTTTTTTTCCACTACAAATGTATCTTATCGACTGCGTTAATTTTTTAAAAGAAAAACACTCGTTATTTAACAATATAAATGAGAATTTCGTCATTCGTTCATTCATAGTTTTCTATTCGTTTATTGTTTCCTTTATTTTGTTTTATCAGAAATGTTTTTTTCTTTTGCATTTTATATTATAACATACAAAAAATAATGTTATTAGACGTAATAATGTAAAATGCAAAAAGAAGTTTTTCTGTATAAAATAATATTAGTAGTTATTATTCTTTATTTTTATTATTATTAATTATATTATATATTAATTATTTAATATTAGTTAGTTAATCTTTTACGTCTTATAAGATTTTTGATAATATCAATTTTTGATAAATTTAAAATTAATTATTTTTTTTTGGTATTTTTGGGGCAATAAAAATTACTAATTATTTTGTTGTTTATTTAGTATTTTTATTTATTAATTAGTATTTATTATTATATATTTATTATTTAGTTATTATTTTTTTATATTAATTTTTTTATATTTTTTTTTAAAGTCATTATTTAGTGTTTATTTTATATTTATTATTTATATACATTTTTTAATATTAATTTAAAAAAATTGTAATTTTCTTGGCACTAAATTTATTATTTTTTTAAATTTCACATTTTCACATGTCAAGGTCAAGGTTTGCGCTAATTTTTTTCATTTTATTTTTTGCCAATATCAAAAGTTACGTTTTGCCGTGTATCTCTACCGGTTAACTGAAGTTACGACACCCACGATACTCGAACGAAACTCAGTTATGTTATAATGAAAATGAGATCTGACGGGGACAACCGGTTTTGCGTTGCACGGCTTTACCTTCTCGTTATAATTGTAAAATGATCTTCAAGTCCCTCTCATCATGCGTACTTTATTATAACATTACACGTACATTAATTGCTTTCACCTTATTAACAAGTCTTATCAACTTGTTTTGTTTCCTTTTTTTTTGAAAAAAAGGAAACACTTTATCCTCACTTTTTTAATTTTATCTTTACACTAGAATTTTATTACTCCAATTAGTTCCTTCTAATTGTTTTTTTTTAATTCTGACCACTTGAGAAAGTATAAATTTAAAAAATAGAAAATTTTAACTTTAATAAATGTATTTTGTTAAATTTATCATGTAATATATTTATTAATTATATTTATTTTCATTTATTTTCATTTATTTTCATTTATTTATTATGTATATTTATATATTTATTCATTTATTTAATATTTATTATATTTCTTTGAATTCTTATAATTTGATTGCTATGTAAATTTTTCTTTAGTCAAAAAAACTTTTTATCTATAAGTACTTTTTTTATTAAATTTTAATATTATATTTTTTTCTTTAAATTTTATCCTCGAATCGTAAAATAACTTTAATTTCGCATCCAATAAAATACATTGCATGCTGAAAGGCTTCGCGTGACCTTCAAGTATGCAATTATATATGCACATTTATAATTGTAATTTTTATAAAGTTTTTTACTTATCAAAAAACAATTTTTTTGTAAAAAGAAAAACCGAATATAATTATATAGCAAATTTTGTTTTTCACTTTTATAGAAAATGCTAGTAATCTTTTCTTAAACGATATATGTGAATTATATAATTACAATAAGTAGGTTTTTTATTATCGAACAGTAATTCTAATTATTTATAATTATAAATCTAACACAAAACATAACCTATAATTTCGTTCGTTTAGGTACCACCTTCTTTGGAACGCGTCACATATCATTAAATAGTAATAATAATTATTATTAATATTATTATTATAAATTATAATAATTATTACCTATAAATTATAATAATTATTATTAAATTAATTTAATAATAATATTATTCAAATTAATAATTATATTATTACCATGAATAAGTAATGTTAAAAATCGAAAAATAGCGATTTTTTAAAAATGCCGACCAATTGATTTGTATTTTATTTATTTCCTTCTTTTTTTTGAAAAAATTTCTATTCTAAGTGACCTTAAAATGTGTGACAAATTCGTATTAGTAAACGACAATCGCATATATAGATAAGCAACACTAATAATATATTTTAAATGTACATCTATTCCACATGAACTAGAAAAGCAAATTTAGATTTTAGATAAAAATTTCATTGAGTAAATGAACTTTTATTGGCCACAATTTTTGCTCTAAATTGTAATTCAATTCTCTCATTAACTATTTTTCTTTATACTCGCTTTGAACTGGGTCGTTGCCAAGAACAAAAAAAAAAGTTAATCAAACTTTTTTTCACCCTCAGTATATGATTGTGGCCTTTGTTTAAATCATATTAGAAATTAATTTTTTAAATTACCACTTCAAGTAAATTTAATAATTGTTTTTAAAAATTTTCTTTGCAATTAAAAAGAAACAATTACAGCAACAATAATAAAATTAATAACAATAACAGTAATAACAATAATAAAAATAATGACGATAATGACAATAATAACAATAATAACAATAATAACAATAATAACGATAATGACAATAATAACAATATAATAATAATAATAATAATAATAATAATAATAATAATAATAATAATTATTATTATTATTATTATTATTATTATTATTATTATTATTATTATTATTATTATTATTATTATTATTATTTTTTTTTTTATTATTATTATTATTATTATAAATAACAACCCACTAATATAGTGAGTTTGAATTCAACATTATCGATTACAATATACACTCTCTATACACACTCGGCCTACGCACTCGTCAAGAATTGAAATGCGGGCGAGTGGACAAAAAAGAAAAAAAAATTCCATTTTTACGAGGCAAACAATTCAGCAATTTTCCCTTGGCTTCAAAGCTGCACCCATTTTTCACAAAAATGTGATTTCAACGATCTAGCTCGACTTTCATAATGTCAAATTTATTTCTCCAAAATTTCAATACATATTTTTATTACACTCATGGGAGAAAAAGAGATAGAGAGAGAATTTTACAGCTTTAATCGTGTGTTGAAATTTTTTCTTTCAACAAATTCATAACTGTCACAATAAATATTACGATAATAATCGAAAAAAGTTGTTCCACAAAGTCAGTGAAATTTATATTAAATTTAAAAAAGTAATTATTTACTTGTAGTTTTATTTAAATTTTTAAATAATTATTTATATTCAGAAATTATATTATTATTAGTAATTTAGTTATTACTAATAATAATATAATAAATAAATAATAATTGTTAATAAAAATAATAATATTTTTTTCTAGGAGTCAAATCACCAGCAGGAGTGGAGTCATGGATCCAGAGGCAAGTAATCAAAAGCAGAAGAGAAAGAAGGAAGAAAGTGTTGCTACTTCATCAGTATGATTTCGATATGTATATCGAACGTCATTTGGTGCAAGTTTGGCAAATGTGCTGCAGTGAAAAAGTGGTTTTTAATAAAGATAAATCGTAATATTTTGACAAGAAGAAAATTCAACGCCCCATTTTGCAGTTTAAGGAAACTACTTTTAAATTTCCTTTTCTGGTTAAAGATTATATATGCAAACTCATTAATTATTTTTGTATTTATTTGTTAAATATTAATTTTAATTAATTAAGAACAAATTACATAACATCTCATTAATTATTTTTTCACTAATATTATTTTTGTTTCATATTATTTATTTATTTAATGAATATACAGGCTCAAAGGCCCGTATTATTATTTTTTTATTTATTTATTAAATATTAATTTTTTAAATGTAAATTTTTGTTATTTTTTTCATATAAACCGAGAAGGAAAAAAGTAGAGGGAAAATAATAGCAACAAGGAAAAATAATATAAATGTGAAAAATTCCGACTTCTTTTTTCTCTTAAATCCAAGATAAACCCTTCGCCCCTCGCTTTTCCGCCAAATATAAAAATGCGAATTGTATCTTCCTTCCATCTCTCTTATGCGAGAGACCTAAACTCTCACGGCCTCCTCTTTTATGTTTCTTTCGATTTTCCTTCTTAAGAACTTCCGTTCAGATACGCGACCTCGTCACAAATGAAAAAAAAACTTCGAGAATTCTAACTCTCGGCAAAAGAAAAAGATAGTTATATAAAAAAATGAATAAAAAGAAAAGCTAAAAAGGCCTATATACAGGAGAGAATGACAGAAATGTAATGAACTGTTTTATCAAATTGGGCCAAACAATAAAAGAAATCTTGGGAATTCTATTTTTAACTGGTTTTTTTTCTCTTCTATTCGCACGTCAATGCAAAAAAAAAGTATTCTAAAATTTTTTTTTTCCTTTATTTATCAATAGTTTAATATAAAATATTAATTTTTTAAATAATATAAAACAGTAGCAAAACCTGTTTTTTTAATTTTCTAATTTAAAACTAAAAATTCAATTCATTTTGCAAATATTATTAAAAAAAAAATTACATAAAAGTAATAAAGAAAAAAACAACAAAGAGTACATAAGAAAGTAAACGTGAATATAATAAAATGATAGGAGAAAATAGTGAAAGAGGAAAATAAAAGATTTTTTTTCTCCACTCTTACCCCTCATCTTCTTCGTCGTGTTCAATTTCCTCGTCCGCCATAATCTTCTAAAATCGAAAGATTTCCGCGGTCTTTAAATTTTATCCATGAAAAAGTGAAAACGAACAAGAAAAAATCAGAAAATTCACTCGATGAAAATATTTCTCTGATAAACTTGGAACACAATGGGGGGGAAAAAATATCGCCACTATCTGATGCAAATTTTTTTTCACTACTGTTAAGACTAGAAGTAAATGAAAATAGTTTATGGCTTCGATGAAGCCTTCTTTTCAAGTCTATTTTGTTTAATGCCCTAATACCATTATCCACGAACATTGCCGAAGCAAGTAACGAAAAAAGACACACATAGATTTTTTTCAATGTATATTATCACTAGGCTTCTTCGCGGAGGCCGACCTGATCTCAATTTTTTTTTCTTCATTTTTTTAATATTAATAATTTTTAATCACATTTTCCCTTTGTTCCAATTTTTTTTCAGTGTAGAAATGATATCGATTTTTTATTGCCTTTTGGTATTTCTTTTTTTATTTTCTATTATTTTCTTATTATTATTATCCTACTTTTTATTTTGATACTATTTTTTATTTTTCTTCTACTTGTTTATACTATTTTTTATTCCTTCCTACTTTTATATTTTCTTATTATATTTTTCTCCTACTTTTTATTTTTGATACTATTTTT